TTTTCTTTTTCTTTTTTTTTTTAATTTACCAGAGGGAGCCAGAGAGAGAGGGAAAATGAGAAGGCATTCCTCATGGGGATGGTCAAGCCACAATTACTTCTCCTCCATTTCTCCCTTCTTTCAAGATTTTGGGCATACACATACACAACTGGCATTTTTTCCAGTCACCAGGTTCAAGACTTTAACATGCAGTTAGCCATGTGGGATCTAGGCACTTAACTACCATGCCAGCAGTTGGCCCGAAATGATATTTTTACTGTATATAAAGCATATATCCCCCCGACTGACACATAATAAAGCTTAATAAATCACAGTAAACAAGTTTATTCAGGCCAGGGCCTAACAGATTTGTATGTTAAAAGCACCTATAATTGGGTGTGGTTAAGGCACTGGATCCCATATGGTCAACCCTGCAGTTCAAGCCCCAGACTTGGGAAAAAAAAAAAATGGCAGGCACATGTGCATGTGTACCTAAACTCCTGAGAGAAGAATGGAGAAGGGACTTTGGCATGACCATCACCCCTGGGGAGTGAGTCACTCCTAGGGAGTGATTTCTCATTTTCCCGTTCCCTCTCTGTCTCTGGCAAAATAAATAAATAAATAAAAATAAAAAACAATGAAGAAGAAGGAGAGAAAGAAATGTCTGTAACTTACAAAACATTCTGAAACAACCCCCTTGGGGAACAGCTATTGTACTGGAACAAGTCCCTCATCACAGCGGGCCATTCTCAGACATTAGACAAGCAGTTTTTCTTCCCACATGCTCCATATCTTCATCAAAATGAGAAAAAAGGAAGCTAGAATCCCCTAAGAAGTACAGCATTTCTTCCTTTTTTTTTTTTTTTTTTAGAGAGATGTTTGCTGTAGGCTCTTCCCTGCTTTTTAAAAGTCCAGTGAGATGAAAAATCTCTGTAGAGGTGTTTATACTATGGGTGTCAACACGCCTTTGGGTCCAGACAGGAAAAATGGCCGCTCTAATGGGAACGGCATCTACACAGCACGGGTAATTACTCCTGGCTACAGCCGCCAAAATAATTAGCAAACTCCCTACTGGCAAAGGAGGATCATCCCCGAGAATGGGCTCAGATTCTGAAACTGCACAGACCTACCTGAGCTGCTCCTGCCGCCGACTCTTTGAGGTCTTTTGTAATTTGCATTCTTTAGGCAAGTGGAATTGAAATTCCTTAGGCAGATTTCTTCCTGATGGAACAGCGAGATGGCATGCATGCCATGACCTCATTGTTCAGGATTCCTGCTTCACAGTCATCTGTGTATGCTTCGACAGGCAGGCGAGGTGAAGCACCTGGGCCGAGCTCCACTTCGCTTTGAGAAGGGCGCCTTTCCATGTGAGCAGCTAGCGCTTTCACAAATGCCCCAGCAAGGCCATGGTGTGGTGTTGCGGAAACAGTCACAGTATGAGAATTCCGGTACTGGCTGCAAAGTGTGGCGCATATATATGATGGAATACTATCCAGCCATAAATAAATACCCTGGCGTTTGATAGAACGTGGACAAATACGTAAGATTTACTGCTAAAGGAAGCCAGCCAGATGGTGAAAGAGAGCCATCGCGTGTCCCTGCTTGATACATACGAATGGCGGCACCCTGGCAGAAACGGAAAGACCGGGAGGCATGAAAACATGGAGAGCAGCTGTGGGAACTAGAGACAGCGTGCGAGGAGGGTGGGACATGGCGGAGGGTGAGAGGGAGGGGTCAAGGGGAAAAAGAAAGGAAAGCATTTAAAGGACAAAAATGGAAGTTACCTGTTGATGGTAGGAATGGTCATATCTTTGACTGGACCGATACACAGGGTAATCACGTTGGAAAAATTCATTTTGTGTTCTGTAATGATATAGTGACTGACTAGAAATAAAAATATAAGAATAATATCTTTTGGGGGAAAAAAAGAGCCTGCAAGTAGGCGTTCCCCTCGCACCCATGAAAGAATGCAAGATCAAGAGATGCAGTGATCACGTGTAACGCTCTGTGCTTGTAACTGGGGCCCATCACGTGCTTCTTCATGAGGAAGGGAAGCAGAGCCTTTGCACAGTTCAAAGCATCTATTTGATTTTCTAGACAGAACTCAAAATCTTTCCACCACCAACCTGAAACAAAACTTTGGCCTAGTGGTTACCTCAACCTATTTTCTCCTCCACCATCACAGTAATGAGGTGACAATAATTTGGGGTTCTGGCTAATGTGCTATTCTGTGTGGGCCTTCCCTAGTGTACCCGTCCTGGTGCAGAGGCCATGAGGGACCGACGCTTACTAAGAAATGTGCCTACGGAGTGAGGACCTATCGGCAACGTAGACAGCCTGACAGCCAGAGCCGTCACTGCAGTCCTTGTCCTCCCAGGGTGGGGACTGTAAGCTGTCACTGCCTTTCTAAGCCATATTCTGACCGTAGAATGGTGCAAATGCGTGTGCCGAGGTGTGTGTGAGCCTTCCGTAAGCGTGTGGGAAGTGGACAGACATGGCGTAGTCACATGTGGCGCTATTGAATGTCACTTTTTTGTTGTTGTTCCCGATTTGCCGTAAGTTGTGCGTACTCACTGGGGGAAGAGCGAGAACCCCTTGGAAGGAATGGCCAAACTTCAATTCCTTCTCCATTTGCCTTCCAGGATTCTGGGCACTCATGTGGCAAGCTTCCCAAGTCACGGGTCAGTTGGCCATGTGGCATCCAGCTGCCTCAACCACACCACTGGTTAGACCTCTCTTCTTCTTGTCCTTTCAATTGCAGAAGGTTCATGCACTCGCCATCGCCAGAGACAGAGAAAGAGAAAGGGAGGGAGAACTGCCTCTCCCGTCAGGTTCAGGGCACACATGAACACATGCCAGGCTTGTTTTTCAAGCTGCTGGGGCTAGGATTTGAACTGTGGTTAGTTGTGTGGGACCTAGTTTCCTCAACCACTGGGCAGGGTCTAGTCATGCCACAATCCCTTCTTCAGTCCTGTAGACTGTCAGATCTTGGACACGTGTATGAGACTGACCAAGCCAGGCCGGCCATTGTCACCATATGGGATCGGACTTCTTGAGCAGCACACTATCACCGCTCCACGGCACCAGGCACTCCCTTTTCTTTCTCTACACCCTGAAGTAGTGACGTTGAAAAGCACCGGTTTTGAATCATTATCTTCCTTTTCTTTAGACTTTTCAAAAGTTTCACTTCTCCCTACAGCCCTGAAATAAAATTTCTAAGGAGTCTTAACTAATTTCTTTTCCAACTTATTCCATCTGTAAGTTGCTAGGTAGGATGCCTTAACAATTGGTTTAGGCTTTGAGACTTTCGCTAACCCTTCTGAGTGTGTAGGAACCTGCCCTAATGCCTACGACATGGCATTATCACTATTTTAGTACCCTGGGCAGGTTTGAACTCTTATGAAGCCAGGGGATGTGGGCCTTGCTCACAACTGTGTCTTCAAAGCTAAGCAGTGTGACATGCTTAGTGCTGAAGGACAGACTGAGCTGGATAATCTAATGGGAAGTAGGACAGAACCAATCAGGATTCAGAGCGGGTGCCTGTGAGTATCTCCTCCCTCCTGGTATCCCTGTACTTAGGGCCTTCAAAGGTTCATGGAAAATGCATATTACAAAAAACCAACAAAACAAAACAAAAACTATGCACAGACTTCTTTTTTTTTTTTTTTGCACCAAAATAAACTTGTACTTTATTTCTGTTTTTCCACTAACTTTTCTTTTTTTGGTCAGAGGGCATGTGTGCTTGGCCAGAGAGAAGGAAAGGAAAAAGCAAATCCCCGTGAGACATGGTCATACCACAATTTCTTCTCCATCTTTTCAGGATTAGGGTACATTTTTCAAGCTGTTGGGGGCAGAATTTGAGCTATAGTTGACTGTGTGGGATCTCATTCCCTTAACCAGGCTGTGGGGCTGGTCCTGCACAAACTACTTTGAGATACTCTTGTATTAGGTTGTTGTAAGAGTCATGAAGTATTTTTTCTACGTTTTTCTATACAAAAATATGTCATTACTTTTCCATCAACCTAATATATGTAACCTATTAGTAACTCTAAGTTCCTAACTCTTCAAACTAAAGTAGTAAGTATTCAGTCATAGGAAATTAAATTGTCTTTCTTTATTCATAATAGGGCACTTGCCTTTGGGCACTATTGCGTGTATTCAGCCTATGTCAGGGCAATCCAGTCGGAGATTTGAACCATTGTCCCCATGGGGGATTCTGCTTCTACTGAGTATAGCATTACCACTATGCCACTGAGCTGGCCCCATTCTGACTTGACTGCATACAGCATTCTGGAGTCAGAGTCAAATAAGAGAGAGACTTTGATGTGTGTGTCTTTAAAAAATCTTACAATGGGGTTGGATTTTCCCAAGTGGGCCAAAACCAGAGCACAAGACAATATCTCAGATTCTCTTCCCTTTGCAATAACAAAAATGAACTCAATTTGATTTAACAAATAATAAATTTATTAGGTGCCTATGAGTACAAAATACTGACAGCTGCTGAAGGAGATGATAAAGATATGTAGGAGAGGAGCCCTGCCCTCAGTGGGCTTACAGTCTAGGCATTTGGTCACACAGAGAAACTGTGGCCATTAGCTTCTAGTACTTGAGCGTAGCTCTGGGCAATGTTCATATCCCTTGGAATCTTCTCTTGGCAAATACACAAGGAATCCTTGCGGCATGGGAGCTCGACGGTGGGAAGGAGACCTTCTGTGGAGTTACTCGGCGACCCTGACTTCTTCCTGTTACTACTGCTCATTCTAGCCTTTTCAGCATGGCTTCCTAACTGACTTTGTTTGGAGAGAAGCGCGGTGCTTCCTGACCCTTCGCCAGGGCTTCCTGTTTGTGAGTGAGTGGCTCAGTTGCAGTTTGGCCTTGGAATGATCTGCAGTGCGACACTTCCTTCAGCAAAGCTATCTTCTGATGTTAGCGTTCGTGCGAGAATGCCACACTTGGCAAGCTGTGGGCTTAAGGGTGGGAGTGAGAATGCAGTAGGAAAGAAAGCAGGCCAGACCTTTCCCTCATGTTAAACATTTAATAGTGCACTTACTGATTATATTCTGTACAGATATAGAGCAAGTTATAAACCTCTTTTATTTATTTATTTTTTTTTCACTTAGACTGTATTCAGGTAAAGTGTATTTACAACAGGGGGCAGGGGAGGTTGAGGTACAAAACCCAAAAGAATATCTGAGGTATAAATACAAGTATATTTTAAATAATACTCTTTCTCATGCTTTATCTATGTTCAAAAGCACAGTGGACGTGTGTACATGTTTCTTAATAGACTGGCATATAAAACACACAACCTTACAAACCTGGAAGCCATCAAAATGGAATATACAACTCTATCTCCATGTGGAACACTGATATCCAAAATACTCAACATTGAAAACTCTAATTTGACCCCCCCCCCAACTTCTTCAAAGAACCTCTGAACTAACACTGACAATGGTAACTACATTATCTTATAACAGAATAAAAATCCTTCTGACAGCTCTCACACACACTATTCACTTGGGATCCACACAAAACAAATTTACTAATACTGTCTCTCGATTTACTCTTCGCCATTACAGTAAAACCTGTATAAAGACCACCCTTCCCAAAAACCTGTGCCGGTTTTTATTTGTTTGTTTTACTACAATGACTATTTTTCCATTACCAGTAAAACAGATTTCAAGGAAAAGAAAAAGGTGGGAGAAAAAACGAAAAGTTGTAAAACCCAAAATACCTATTTGCTGATAGGACAAACCCAATGACTAAATATGTGCAGTTTCAGGAATGCTGTTAATAGCAACAGCTCCCCACCCACCCCTGGTCAAAACGCCTCTGTGGCTAGGTTCCCTTCACAGGGACTTTCTTGGGATACCCAGAGTTTCCTATGTACCCACACACAGTGCCTTAAAGACGTCTCTGTTATAAACACAAAAATGTAAAGCATTTTAACAGGTAAAACACTTTGATGCCCGACTCAGGAGTAAATATTAGCGTGTTCAGTTTTCACATCTCAACTTTGAAAAATAAAACAAACCCCCCAAAAACACAAGCCTGTGCTTGGAGCCAGTGAGGGCAGGATGGGGAGGCAATTTCATCTCGGAACTAGTCCTTATTGGTTAAAATCACAAAACTGCTCACTGCGGTCAGGTCTAAAACAAACTGCACTTGAAACTGGTAACAGACTCAATCTATTACAATTACTTTTACGATGAAGAGGTTGGTAGAAAAGGGATATGCCTAATTACTTGGAGAAATACAATCAGTGGAGCAGGGTGTCAGGTGCCCCTTCTGGATGGACCCCTGGGTAGTCAGATATTCCAGGTTAAACTAAACCCGAGCATCGATATCCTTCCTGGAGGCTCTCAGTGTGCCAGACACTGCGTTCCAACTTCTCCACCTATGCCATTCAATCAGCAACAGACACACACTCACACTCCTCTGTGCAAACCTTTCTCTGCTCATCTCAGTGAGGAAACATGCCAGAGTACCAACTATTCCAGTGGATACACCCGTCCTTAGCACGCTGCAAGAAAATGATGTAGGCACACCTACACCGCGGTCGCAAGAGCACGAAGTATCTTCACTCTCTCCTGAAACGTATGTAAGGAGCTTTGCTTCTCAGAAGCAACTTGAAAAAGAATACATTTTTTTTTGCACAGTCCTACATATTCCAGTCAAGGTCTACAACATAGACCTTAAACAAACAGGAAGCAGCTTTAAAAATGTATCAAATCACTACAGTCAATTTCTACACCCCAACTTGTTCCATTGCAGATGGAGGAAAGGACCCATTCTTCCAAGAACTGGCCAGGTGAGGAAATGCACAACCAGCCGGTGGACCCGGAGGGTCTGCTTCAGCAGTCACCTGGACTTCGAGTCTCTGCATTCAGAATGCTGATGACTGAAGGAGTCTCGGATTTTCACAACTTCCGCTGCACACAGATGTCCAAACGACTTTGTGTACCACTCCGGCATGTGGCCTCTGAAACAGAGAGAAGGCGGAGGGATTATCTACTCAAGACGACACTCTTCTATTTCCTGAGAAGCAACACATGGAAATAAAGGTGATTCTTTTTATCCAGGTAATCCCCTGCGACATCTATTACACACTGGGGACCGGCAGTCTTTCAAGGACACGATGAGCACAGACGTGGAGTTAAACCTTCGGGAAAAGCTTTGGCATGTGTGACACGAAGGTCACATGCATACTTGAAGAACACCTGAGATGTGAAGATTTCAAAAGAGGATTTATTTAACCCCAGAGCCACTCTGGAAAAACTGTTAGAAGCTCACGTTTTTGGTCAATTTCATTTTCCTTATCTCCTTTTTAAAATAAAAACCTTTTAAAAAAAGGTAATTAATTCCTTCTGTGAGAGAGAGCAATAGAGAATGAGAGGGACAGAATTCCCGATAGGGTCACGATGCCCTGGTTAGCGTTGGGCTCCCGCCAGGCGGAGATGATGGGCAAGCAGGTGCCTCACTTACTCAGGGAGGCCTCTGGACCCGAACCAGAACTTTCCAACGTGGGTCTGCCTCAGAGTATGGTGTTGACCACCACGTCACCATACGGCCCATGTTCTGATCTGTATACATGTTCGTTTACGGCATCAGGTAGACAGGCCCAGTCATATTCAAACCCCGTTGAGTACAAATGAGAAACACCTGCTTACTCGTTCAAACTCACAGTCCATCATCTCCCATGGCTTTAAGTTCATGGCGGAACCATCACATTCATATTGCTGTGGTTTCGCCTTTCCTGAAGAATCCATACCAGGGACCAGCAGTTAGCGCAATGGCTATGTCGCTGGCCTCCCACGTAGTTGACCGCAGTTCGCGTCCCGGACCCGGTGGCTTAGAACTCACGCCGGGAGCATGTGTGTGTGTACCCAAGATCCTGAGAGGAGAATGGAGGAGAAGGGATTGCGGTGTGTTCATCCCCCCTGGGGGGTGATTTCTCGCTTTCTGTCTCTCTGTCTGGCGAACGCACGCGCCCCATAGCAAAAACCTCTCCCCCCCCAAAAAAAGAATCCTCACTAGAGCGTGTGTCCTAAAGACCATGAGACATGACAGTTGTATTTCTTTTAAGTACCATTCTCCATGAACTAACCAAGACTCAGCGATGTGTTGTCTTTTTAGTTTTTATTGTCGTCATAGGGAATGTGTGTTTGCTAGAGAGAAACACAACAGGGAAAATGGAAAATGACCCCTGGGGGGTGGCCATCACAATCCCTTCTCTTCCAGTCTGCTCTCAGGATTTTGGGCACACACATACATGTGTCCAGTGGGACTTTTCTTTTTTTTTTTGAGAGAGATTTTTTTGTCATGGGGTGTATGTGCTTGCTGGAGAGAGACAGAGAGACAAGAAAGAAAAATCACTCACCCCCCCTCCCCCGGGTAATGGCTACGCCACAATCCCTTCTCCTCCATTCTCTCCTCGGGGTTTTGGACACACATGTATGTGAGCCTGATGTGAGCTTTAAGCCACCAGGTCCGGGGCTCGAACCGTGATTAAGTGGGAGTGCAGAGATGTGACCATTATGCCATCTGCTGGTCCTTCCAGCGTGATTTTTCAAGCCACAGGGTTGGGATCCCAGCTGCGAAGCTACCGGGCCCAGTGCCTTAATCGCCCTGCCACCTGCTGGCCCTCGATGACGCTGAGTTTTTCTTTTTTCTTTTTGGTTTATTTTTCTTTTCTTTCTTTCTTTATTCATTTATTTGTTTGCTTATTTATTTATTTATTTTGCCATAGGATGCATATGCATTCCAGAGAGAGAGACAGACAGACAGACAGAAGGCAAATGGGAAATCGCCTCCCCTCCCAGGAGAAAGGCCCTGCCATAATCCTTCTCCTCCAGTGTCTCTCAGGATTTGGGGCATGCACACACACGTGTCCAGTGTGATTTTCAAGACACTGGGTCCAGGACTCGAACCCCAGTTGAGAATTCAGAACCTTAACCACCACGCACCTACTGGCCCCATAATGACGTCGATGAGACAAAAAGTCTCAATCTTCATGACACTCACCATGTCAAACGTGGGGAGTTGGGACCTACCTTAAATCAGCTCTGCACATGTAGGTGAGCTTCGACCTTCCTGACCCACAGGGTTCGATCAAATACCTGGACAAGAGCACGTTCACCCTCACACCCACCACAGGCGCCCGGTCGTGATCCACTGAGGTGAGCAGAAGGGCACAGGCTCCCTTGGGTAAATTCGTCCGCCATGTTCTGTAGAGACAAAACCAGAGGGAACGATGGGGTCTCCTGGAGGCTACGTTGACAGGGTGCTTCCCTCCCAGGGAGGCAGCTGAGGGGACGGGCTAAGGGACACCCTGGCCGAAGCAGGTCTGGGACCTGAATGACAACTCTACCGAGCCCTGCTGGGAACGGGCTATGTGGAACCGGGGCTGGAACCAGTTTCCTGTTTCACAGACATCGCAAAACGTGATGTCCAAAGGCGCACGGCTCGGTCTGAAACGCTCTGGACTAACGATGTGCCATTTCCTCAAAGATTTTTGGAATTCCTCTGTGAATGCTATCTGCAGAGGACTTAGGAATTACATATAAATCAGCCTTAACCGCATCTCCCCTGGGACCCACATGTTATTTCCTGGCTTATGCACTCACTGTTGCTAACAAGAAAATCTATCCTAAAAGGGGCAAAAATCTGCTACCAATGAGCATATTCATCCGAATGTGAGCTCAGTTCCCAAAGAGCTCCAAGCGTTCCCACTGCCTGCTGGGACGGACGTGGACGTGTCTGGTATGGCTGACAGGACGTGCCGCTTTTCTGGCGGTGTCCCTTCTGCTTCACGCCATTTCCCCTTTCTACGTCAGAGAAATAGAGGTAGATGACACCGAGTCATCCTCCCGAGCATCCGCCTGGGGGCGCTCACCTCAGAACCACGTAGTCGCGCGCAGGGTGGGGCGCCATGCTGTTCTGGACATACTGGTAAATTTCAGTTTGGCTGTCCAGGATTTCGATCACTTTGGAATCCAGCAGGTCCACGTCCCAGAGGTGCTGCTCTTTAAGCAGGCGCTTTAAGATCTCCTCCGGCATGGCAGGGACTTCGATGGTCGACCTCCAGAGCCTCAGAGGGGGTCCTTCGCTCACCTGAAAAGCACATGCACTGTTGAGCGCTAAGACAATCCACCCGCACTGAGACTGAGGGCAAATCGAGACACAGGTCTAGACTCAGAGGCCAGACGTGATCCAGGACATCAGCAGAACGAGCCAGAGAGCAAACAAAACAGTGTTCACTCCGGCTGAAATGATGACGGCTGTTTTTCTGGAACCCATCTCAGGGTTCTGAATGCAACGGAAGGTCACTCATTTCTGCCCAGGAGCCTAGATGCCAGCTAGACTGCTCACTGTTTCATTTCTTTATTTTTAAATAGGATGTGTGGGCTCACCAGAGAGCTAGAGAGAGGGAAAATGAGAAGACGCCCGCCGGGGGGATGCCATACCACAGTTCCTTCTCCTCCATTCTCTCTGCAGGATTTTGAGCATGCACGTGCCCAGCAGGTTGCCCGCCACCAGACCCAGAACCGCAGGGTCGGCCATGTGAGGCCCGGCTGCCCCAGCACTACTCCCCTGGCCGGCCGTTCCTTTAAGGTGATACACTATCAACAAAGCGCTTGGGCCCTCCAACATGCCTCTGTCCTCAAGGCGCTTTCGGTCCTAACGAGCTGCATTCTCCCTTAAGCACTGCTCGCTCAGTAAAGGCTACAAGTCGCGTGACGAAGAACAGCGGAGAGTGCGAGGGGATTCTGACTGAAGAACAGAAAGAAATCCAAGCACACTATGAGATGCCACAAAGCGAGGCCAGCAGGTGGAGTGGTGGCTAAAGCCCTGGACTCCCACATAGCCAACTGCAGTTCAAGTCCTGAGCCTGCCCGCTTGACAGTCACACCAGACATGTGTGTGTGCACGCTCAAAATCCCGAGAACAACGGAGGGAGAAAGATCTTAGTGTGGCCATCCTCCCGGGGGGGGGGCTGACTTCTCACTGTCCCGCTCTCTGTCTCTGTTTCTCCCTGACTAGTGCACATGCCCTCAGGCAAAACCCTAAAAAACAAAAACAACTCAAAAAGAAAAACAAATAAATAAAACGCCCTAAAGCCGGCACCGTCAGTCAAACATTCCAGAGAACGCCGGTGTGACTCTATGGAATGCAAGCATTTCGCCAGACGTGGCTGGAAACGCTCTCGTGCGTCTCAGATGAGTTCTGCCCCTCACTTGACTGGTTTCCACTCCTCGTCGGGGAATCTGAATCACCTATCTGTCCAGCTCCATAAGGAAGGGTTTGGGCACAGAGGCCCCAGACTTTCAGTTGGCAACAGTCGTGCAGCTCTGACAAACTCGCGTCCTGACCACGGAATTCAACGGGCTAGCAGCAGGAAGACAGACCTTCTTTTTCTTTCTCTTTTACTTGCCAGAGGGTGTGTGCACTGGCTGTAGAGTGCTTGCCCTCCCCAGAGAAAGAGGGAGAAAGCACCCTCGAACGGGGTGGGATCATGCTGCAATCCCTTCTCCATTTCTCTGTTCTGTCAGGGTTTTGAGCCCACGTGCACACAGACAGGCCCAGTGTGACTTTCGAGCTGCTGGGGCCAGGATTTGAACCACCGTCAGCCATGTGGGATCAACTCCCTTAACCACCAGGCTACAGGCCCAAAGCCTCACCTTCTTGTAGGACAGCTCGGCCTGCTCAGAAGTGGAATAGCTGACCCAGCCTTTAAACTTCTCCTTGACCTCCTTAAACAAGCCGTCTACACAGTCCTGGAGGAAGTGCTGGTAGTCAGCAGACTCGCCCTTGCTTAGGCGTCCCAGTGCTTCCAGAGAGAGGGGCTTCAGCTCCTGCTCTGTGTAGGAATTCCGACACCGGCTCATTTCCTCAGGAACCTGTGAGAGACAAAGGAGGTGGGTCCACCGGGGTCATCCTCAGAGCCCGACAGTGGACATGGCAGGACTGGAACAGTGGGTGGGGTCTTCAGAGCGAGGCAGGCCGGTCTCTGTCCCCACCGACGCCACGGTAAGGACCGTGGAACCTCGTGGTAGCCATGCGGACACAAACAGATCACCTTCACATTCATAAGTGAACCTGAAAACCATACCCTCACCCGGGTGCTCTTCGGAAAGCTGGGTAAGAGGGGAAGGGACTAAAACAGGCCTGGGCTGGTCACAGCAGGCCTCTCAGGCCCAGAAGCTTAGCTCCGGATAACTTTTTACTTTCTTGCTTTTCTGGGTAAAGGGGGTGGAGGGAGGCAACCTCATTAACACTATTAACTCTGAGGAGCGTCTACAGCGTAATACGTTGAGGTAGGACGTTCTCGGGTTACGTGTCCGGTCTCCTACTGTGGAGGCCATCTTTGGGCAACATGTGAACACGTATGAGGCCCGAGACTCTGCCCCTCTTCATGGGACCAACTCCTCACCTGGAAGAGCTTCTTGCATTCAGCAATCATGTGGGCCAGCCCCTGAGTGGCAGCTAGGTTTTCGTTTAAATCTTTCTGATCCGGTTTGCCCAAACTTTGTTTTCTTTGCATTACCCTAAGTAGGAGAAATAAAGGAGGGAGAGAGTCAAATATTTATATAATTCCAATCAATGTACTATTAAGGAGGGGAAAAAAGGCATTTCCCTGGAGCCTATTTGTGAAGTGGCTCAAAGGAGCTTTTATCTTGGTCACCAGAATTTCTCAGAGATTTAAAAACATTAAAGAGACTCGTTCTTGGTGAAATCCGGGTTGTGTAAGCCATTCTGTGCGGCAGGTTCTCCTCCCAGTAGGTCAGCGCAGGGCAGCGCGTGAGGATGAAGGCTGCTCCTGCAGGGCTGGGTGGGAGCACTGGGGCGGGGCAGGGGAGTCCCCACTCCTGCCTGTCTCCCTCACAGGATCGCTACCCAGGGGACACTTCAGCACTAGTTAAAAGGACGAGAAAGCACTGCACAGCTTTCAACAGCAAACTGACTTCAGCTACTGTGACTAGGCCCTGCCTTTAGCTACGGGATGCTTTCCAAGTCCTCTTAGCGCTCAGGACAAGGGCCGGCCGGGTGGATGCAGCACTCGGGGCTGAGTGCTGACTTCCCGGCCTGCGCCAACAGGAGGTCTGTATGTGAATACTGGCGTCAGTGCCAAGCTCTGATATCGAGAAGCTCCAGTTGGCTCTGCCAGTCCTCCCTGGGGGACCTGAAGGTTGCTGACCGAACCCACCTTCCCCGAGCTCCGCTCTCCTCGTATGCGCGCCGGCTGAGGGACAGTCACCTCGCGTGGGGGTGTGAGGGTGCACCGAGGCGGTGAAGGGAGGGGTGCAGCCCTGTGCCTGCCACGCCCCAGCCTTCATCATTTTCAGACTCCTGACTTCCCTGGGGCCACTTCCATCCTGGACACGTGTTCCAGGCAGGGACTGTGCACGGTGGGCTCGGCCAAATCCCGAACAGAGGCGACCGTGAGGCGCCACACGCTCCTTGGTTCTTGCAGGCCTGGCAGCCACGTTCCACCTCGGGTGCAGCCCAGAAGTCTGCTTGGTTGCCCACGTGAGGCCTAGGCAGTGGAGGCCATTAAATAGATAGGGCGTTTGCTGGCAGAGAAGCACCGTGGAACTGCTAGGCCTGCCTCGGAGGCTCTGGGAGCATCGGCGTAGGCGCTCGCTATGGCAAACGCAGCCCAAAGCGCTCCTCTCTCAAACCTGGCTGTCCTCGGACGGTAGGACGTGCCACACCCCTGTGGCTGGGGAGGCACATGGGGTGTGAAGGGAGGCAGGTAAACTAAGTTTTGCTTGGCTCAGGCAGGAACCCACAAAAACAGCATAGGCCCGAGGCCCCCCCCACCCCGTCCCTGTACCTCGGAGAGGAGTTCTCTCTCTTCAGGGTGTTGAGGTGGAAGAGGGATGGCGCCAGACACACGGCCAGGTTGGTCGGCGTCATCTGGTTCTCTTTGACGGCTGCCGTGACGTCGCTCAGGAAGTAGAGCAGCGTCTGGAGCACCTCTCGGTTCTCGTCGGGCAGCAGCATGATGGCAGCCTTGATCGCCTGCAGGCGCTGCTCCTTGGGCACATCTGCACGACAAGGCCATTTCCCTGTCAGCCTGGAGATTTTCTGTGTGTGCGCAAGGAAATGTCCCAAAGTGGACAGCAGCCGCGAGTACCGCAGCTCGGGACCGAACCAGCACTCACGGTGCACGGAGGGGCAGACGCGGGAACTAGGTGGCCATGGCGTCACTGCCCGCCAACACTCCTGCTCCGGGGTTTAGACACTGAGACCCCACAGTGCGGCCGCTCCTACACCCACCCGAGTGCGGCTCCGGCCAATGCCTGCTCTTTCAGTTTTCTAGGCACTTCTCAAACATCTCTCGTTACGAGTCTCCATTACTGAAATCAGTGTGCACATAATCTTTCACTCTGTTTCCCCGGAATCCCTGTGCCTGTACACGAATACAGGGGACTCACGCTGGGGAATTCATTTTTTTTTTTTGAGAGGTTTTTGCTATAGGGCACGTGCGCTTGCCAGACAGACAGAGAGAGACAGAGAGACAGAAAGCGAGAAATCACCCCCCAGGGGGAATGGTCACACCGCAATCCCTTCTCCTCCATTCCCCTCTCGGGATCTTGGGCACGCACGCACACGCGCCCGGCGTGAGTTCTAAGCCACCGGGTCCGAGATGCGAACCGCGGTCGACTACATGGGAGTCCAGCGACATAGCCATTACGCTAACTGCTGGTTCCCCTCTGGGGAATTCTTTTTACAGGCCGTAACGATGTGCAGTGGTTGAACGTATAAAATATAAATCAATATATTATGGGGGAAAAAGGAAAGGAAAATCTTGTCTGAGATATGTCCAACAGGCTGAGAACCGAGATCTTTTAGCCTTGATGACAAAATGTCCAGTATCTCCGGACCTTCGTAATTCTAACCAGTTTGCTCATTCTCGGAATGAAAAAAGTAAATTGCTAATACTGTCAGCTTAAACAAGAGACATATTTAAGTAGTAATTTTTGGTTTTTTTGAGAGGTTTTTGCTATAGGATTGTGCACTCACCAGAAAGACAGACAGAGACAGAGAGACAGAAAGTGAGAAATCACCCTCCAGGGGGGATTGGCCACGCCACAATCCCTTCTCTTCCATTCTCCTCTTGGAATCTTGGGCACGCACGCACATGTGCCTGGGGTGAGTTTAAGCTACTGGGTCTGGGACTCAAACCGTAGTCAACTACATGGGAGTCCAGCAACATAGCCATTATGCCAACTGCTGGTCCCTAAATAGTAATTTCTTAAGGTTTGGAAAGCATACCAACAGATTATTATAAATAAGAATGCATATAGGGCCGGCCAGTGGTGTGGTGGTGAAGGAGGCCAAATCCCACATGGCTGACTGTGTGCATCAAGTCCCGGATCTTGCTGTGTGTGTGCCTCGAAATCCCCAAGGGAGACACAGAGGAGAAGGGATCGCGGTGTGGCCACTCCCCATGGCTGAGAGTGCCCTACGTTCTCTGTCTCGAGGGCTGGTCCCACGGCGCCACTGCTCGGCGCTGAGCAAAGGAAGGCGCGTCTCCCACGGTTGGCCAGTCTGAGTTTCAGCCTCAGTGACTTAAAGAACATGCCAGGTGGCAGCTCGTGCTGGGGACCCTACAGGGTGGAGAACTGGGAGGAAATGACTGCTGCAACGGGGCCCTTCTGGCTGCTTTCCGTCCATCTGTCTGTCTCCTGTGTGTTCCCTCTGGCATAAAAAGTAGTCATAATAAATGGAGAAACTGAAAAACTATGAGGTACATCCATAAAATGAGCTGCGCGTCAAAAATGCTGACCTCAACCTACAGGTCCCCTTTACGAGGAGAACCTCTGAGAAAGCACATGGTGGAAAAAGCAGGTCACTGCAGCCAGCGCGAGACGCCAGGCCGACGGCACAGCGCCATGGATACAGCACACAACACATACCTCGGTGGGGAAAATGTGAGCTGCGTTTGTGTCAAATATGGAAGGATGAAACAAATAATGAAACAGTCCAGACCAGCTCCATTTCTCATAAAGTAACGCCCCATGTGCCACTTCAGAAGACGATTCGGCAGGAAGAGAAGTGGCTTTCGGACTGCACTGCCGCACCAGCACACGAGCCAAGGAAAATACGAGGCTGTAAAAGCCAGTCTCGGTCTCGATTATGAATTTAGACCGCGGTTTGCTCTCTGCTTTACTTAAAAGTGAGAAAGAAGGGCATGGGTATTGTTTTCTTAAGTATTGCTGGCAGAGACCGAGAGGAATAACAGCAAAAGATGATTTATTCTATGTATAGCAAGATAAAACACACAGACACTTGTGAGACGTTAAATACAGCAGCCCTGCTAGAGAGGGGCAGCAGCAATTCCTGTAGACAGGGCAGAGAGAAAGCGCGAGACCCGCTCTCTCTGCCTCCCAGATAACACTGTGCTAGAAACAGGTGAAAGAACAGGCTGGACCAGAGTGCAAGAGTGCACAATTCACGGAGCAATTAGAAACAGAGGGTAAGGAAATTAATCTTCACATTATTCAAGAAGTACACAGACACCTGTCTCACAAACACAGAGAGAGACAGCCAGATAGAAAGCAGGAAATCACCCCCCAGGGGGGATGGCCACGCCACAATCCCTTCTCCTCCATTCTCCTCTCGGGATCTTGGGTGCGCACGCACACGCGCCCGGCGTGAGTTTTAAGCCACCGGGTCCGGGATGCGAACCGTGGTCGACTACGTAGGAGTCCAGCAACACAGCCATTACGCCAACTGCTGGTCCCGAAACTGATGTGCACTTCTCAGGTCACCAGTCCTCTCGTCCAAAGGCTGTCAGGAAAGGAGGCCACAAGCACAGGGGACGGGTTTGCTTTCCCAACGCCACAACCTCAAGATCAAGACAGACTTACACTGGTAGATCTGCAGGAAGGTTTCCGAGAGCTTGTTTGTCATCAGCGGCTCGGGCAGATCTCGGAAATACTGCTTCAGCATGTCCGCCACGTCGTACGCGGACTGTCCGTCATAGCTGACGCCGTCCGCGGCACTCTCATTCATCTGACGCAGAGCCTGAATCCGGGACCTGACCCCCGACTTTCGGAA